GCGTGGTCATGATTGCTCCACGTAAGGGTACAAGTGACAAATGGATAGACAAGCGCATAAGAGAATGCGCAAGCAACTTGAAGACAAGAAGTTCTCGTTAAAGTGGATGTAAAACTAGAGCAAAATTTTCAATTCGACAGAGGCACACGAAATAATCATCCACGACAACCACTTTATCCACCCTGTCAACTTCATTTGCTTTGAGAGAAGAACGCTGTCATCAGTGATCTATATCTTGTCACAGCAAAGTGCAAGTAATGGTTCGTTCTTTACAAGATGTACTTAATCGAAGTGGTGTTTCTGTATAATAAGTATTAGGTTGGCCCGAAAGTTCTTTCGCACCAAATTCAAAAATTCATAACTTCCGATTTTTCCAACCGATTTAACTGCATTTATTTTTGTATGAAAGAGTAAGTCATGCTCTTTATAAACACTTCTTAGTTGCTTGCTAATGATCATCTATTACATATTATAGATAGGAGCGGTAGAAGAAAATTAATCAAAATTCGAATTTTTTGTGTAGGGTCATAGAAAGCAGTCGGTATTGTGGGTTCTTTCACCAGCTCTTTTTAACAGTGAAAAGTTTGCGCTGATTGAGCTCTCTATGAAAAGTTATGATTTTCGAGCAAGCAATACAAAAGGGCGAAATTGATTCATTTTGGCATTTTTCAAGGAAATCATTACTTTTCATAGAGACGCTCAATCAGCGAAAGCTGTTGAAAGAAGCTACAATACCAAATGCTCCGATTTTTGTTGCAAGTTTCAGATTTTATATGACCTTACACAGAAAATTCGAATTTTGACTAATTTTCTTCTACCGCTCCCATCTATGCAACAGATGATCATTAACAAGCAGCTAAGAAACATCTGTGTAGAGAACGAATTGTTCTTTTAGATAAAAATGAAAACATGCAAATCGCTTGAAAGAACTAGAAGTTATGAATTTTTGAAAATGGTGCGAAAGAACTTTTGGGCCAACCTTATATACATATTATCATATAGGCATAGAATGCTGATTCCAAATTTGCTTTAGTTATCTGCAACGCGCTTCTGGGGAAAAGGAGTTGTGGGAATTTTTTTAAGGTAAAAATTCAATGATTTGACTAAGGCAAAAATATGTATCAAGGTCTTTTCGACGCCTGAATGGAATAATGACTGGCATGAGTTTATCAGATTGAAGGTCTTAATTCCATAACGCCTTGTAGTCATCACTGCCCCGTTTGAGTTCACTGACTGAGGTTCTGAATGATTTTATTGTTGCGGCGCTTTGAAATTTCTGCATCAAAGTACTCCCATAACTCTTCTCCCAGAAGCGCCTTGCAAATAAATAACAAAAAAGGTTTGAACTCAACGCTCCATGCTCTTTAAGACAATATACATTTTGTATAGAAACGTCACTTCAAAACAGGGTCAAGCGTGTTGATGCGATCCGGGACCCTCATTTACGACCCCTCCCCCTTGAAGGTACCCATCCGTACGACCCTCTCTCCCCGCCCTTCTCCCACCCTCCCCCAACTATCCCCCTTACCTCCCCTGTCCACATTCCTCGCGGTAACCTGCATAAACGAATGTCAATCTCAAAAAACACCTGCGTGAGAACTTCAGTGAGGTTTTGGAAGCAGAATCTCTAGGTCAATGGGTGCGCCCAGCATCTGTAGCACACTACACACCTTCAATAATGTTTGAGATTCTATAGATAGAAAGTTTTTTTTTGAATTTTCAGGCATACTTCGGACCAGCAAATTCGATTCCCGTATGCGATACAAATTTTTGCACGGAGAAAAAAAAATGACATTCTTGAACTACAAAAGATGTTTTCGACTAAGAAGCTTACTTCCTACCTCTTCCACAATTTTTCCCGCCAAAAAAGCCGCTTTAGTGCCGTCCAGAAGATGTGAAAAACGTGCATGAGCACGGTAGTTTGAAAATCCGTAACTAAAGGCAGGAAAAGACTGAGAGGCTGCAAAGCACAGCTTCTGTAGCATGGTGTCCATACTATCCGTAGAAGAAGTTTCATTTCTTGAGGACCAGTAAGTTAAAAAAAATTTAGATGCGACTCTCGCAAATTTAGATGCGATCCTAGAAAGCAAAAACTGGGATTTTTGAGCTTAAAATTTTGTTATTTACCAGAGAAGTTATAAAACAGCGTGCAATTTTTACGAGGGAAAGTAGGAGGATGGTCTCATATTACAGCAAAATTGCGGCCAACAAGCTTCGATAGCTCCGAAGAAATTTGGATGCGACCCAGATACGACTTTCCTTTCCTACCATACATAAAATCATAAGAAAATCCACAGTTTACAAAATAACACCAGATTTCGCACAAAAATAGGAGAGCTCATCAAAAGTACATATAAATTGTAAGGGCCGTATAAATGGCATTACAAAAAGATTTAAGAATTATTGATTGTCATCGTTGATCTAGATGTGCGCTTTTGTCGAGTGTGAGACTTTAGTGAGGCTTCGGAAGCAAGATTCCTAAGCCAATTAATACATTTCGATTTTTTATTGAATCTTATATCCTTCAAAAGTGTTTTGTGCTCTTGGGAATGTTTTTTTGAGAATTTGTAAAAAAAATTTTGTCCTTAGTAATTTTAATTTAGTAGTAATTTTTTCCAAAAAACATGTACTGGTGCTTTTTGATTTCCTTTCAAGCCTACGGTTTTCAGCCAAACTACTTTCTCTTACGACCAACCTCCTCACCTTAGTTGCCCACTTTACGACCCCCCGTTGCGACAGTCGCATCACACGCTTGACCCTGCTTCAAACCCTTGTTAGACGCAAAATTTTCATGACGGTACCCCGTGCATCAGGTTCGTGTGGGCAATGTGAAGCTTAGATAATGCAGAAAAAGTACAGAGTTATGTGAGCATAATTCTGTGCTATATTGCTTATTCACCAAGTGTTAATCAGCACAATGGAAATGTGAATAATAGTCTCATGCACTCAACGCTAGCACAACCATGCTAATATATAATAAGTGTTCACGAATGTATTGAAGATTTATCCCAATTCATCAGGACTTAACATTTGAATTGAAGTACCTTAAACACGTGCGAGTCGAGTTGAACAAACGGTGGGTGAGAGAAAAGGTGTTGGCAAGTAAAGCGTTGTCAGAATTGAAGACATGGAAGGCAGCGTACAGGCAGATCCGAGCCTCAAGAACCACGCTCACTTCCTCGCAGGCCAACCTCCCCCCCCCCCAAACGAGGTTTCCTTAGCCTTAACGTTTTTCACATGGCAAACACATTCGAACACAAAACGTTTACCTGTTAATATGCTTTCGACAAGGATAGCATCAGAAGCACTCTTCCGGGTTCCCCAGTAAGGTGGTTTTTCAAGGTATTCACGCTTTTTGAGTGCCCATATTTGGAATCAGGGCCATGAAAGGCCTGGATAACAAAAAGAAGTCGAGAATCTGCCCGGGCGCTGTCTTTAGTCTGCTCGTAGTTGTTTCTATTAATTGGAAGATAGGTACAGTCTAGTAGATTTCCTGCATAAAGGCAGCGCCCACCCAGAGTTTGGCCCCCTATGTTTTGTCATTCTGGGACCTTTTCGTGGCCCTAATTACAGCCCCGAACTTAAAACTTTTTGAAATCCACAAAAAGCCCAATTCCTGGGGACCCTGTCTTGAGGGCGCACGAGTTTCGAATCGCTCGTCCCCATCGGCAGGCCAGCGGGGAGGGACTGCAACTGCATGGGTGCAGTGCAGCGGTGTGCAGCTTCTGCTCAGTACCATGTCAATACCGTCGGGAGGTAGTTCCTGATGGGCGGGGTCTGATATCAAACTCCGCCCAGCCAGGGACTTTCAGGCCCCTTATCTCCATTAGAGAAACGTTAGAAGACGGACTAACGCAGGTGCCCCTTTTCTGGCCTGCATTCAGGATCGACACTAATCGGAGCGGGTAGGTTTAGCCTGGACACTGCTTTCAATATAGTGTCCCTGCAGACGCGACAACGCCTATGCGTCAATAATTGCCACTACGAGTTTTAGCAAGAATTTCACGGTGTTTTCTTTGCTTATTTTTCGCTTTTTAAGTGAGCCCTCGCTAATAAAGGAAAGAAAGGTAAGCTAGCAAGAAGCTTCTCTTTTCTGAGTATGTAAATCATCACTTATTCTGAGTACTTACGTGAAACTACGTCGTCATCAGTTCTACGCGTATTTTCTGTCACTGCATGCCTCTTCGCTTCATTTTCTTTGTATTTTTTGTCATGTGATGCCTCTTTTTTTTTCTTGTGAACCATTTCTTGAACGCTGATAGGCTTTTATGTGTGACTTATTGTCTTTATACCGAACTACTCCGATGATTGCCTTTTTTGAAGAGAAGTCTAAGTTGCTGCAGAGCCTAGCTCAAAGAAATGTTTTACAAAAAAAAAAAGAGGCATCAAGTGACAAAAATACACATGAAACTGACGCGACGTGGCTTCAATGTAGCCTTCTAAGAATTAGCGACGATATAACTATTCAAAAAACAGAAACTTCTCTTCAACGTACCTGCCTGTGCTTTATCAGCAACGAGTTCCTGAGTTCCGACTGTAAGCAGTAGTATGTGCATTTCAAGGAGTTTATCAATCAAGAATGTGAAAATTGATGGATCCCGTTCCTGATTCAAAAAAGACAGAAAGCAAATTAAATCCCGGTGAGGACTAACAGGTAAAAAATACGAGGTAATGTAATCACGTGCGTTTGTAATAGTGTATATTCAGGTAGTGTACGGCTAGTCTCAGATAAAGCTTCATCCACTCCCTCGAAGCAATTTACAGTCTAGGCAATTAGAGCGCGACACAACTTGGTGCAACGCTATTCTCATTCGGGGTTGTGTAAATGAAAGGCATCAAACTGACGTAAATTATAATACTAAAAACATTAAGGACCAAGACGCTTGACATTTCTGGACGTAGAAGGGTTTACTGATCTCCTCTTGTGTGAAAAAAAGGATTTTTGATGCAAAATGAACAAGAAAGAGTGCAAAATAACAAATCAACTGGAAAAAACGCACCGTTAATCCCTTTTGGAAATTCTTATTTCCTATCACTGCACGGAGCATTGCGATGATTGCAGCGCCCCTGTTATAGCTGATTGTGTCAAAAGAAGAGCCAATTTCTCGAAACTCGTGTATTATGGATGACATAGGTCGACCACTAACTCTCGCGTCCTCGACCAAGGCATCTTCAGTTTCCTCGACAAATTCATCTTTGCTCTGTAATGTGTATCAATAATATTTTGCATCATCAAACGCTGCCGCGTAGCGTAATCCATCGTAATCCATATACGTAATGATTGTTAATCAACCTCAGTATTCCAACAGCTCTGTGTTTTCTCTCTCATGCTTCTTCATGAGTAGTTGTTATTATATTCAATATCAGTCTAACTGCAACAGCCTAGTGTAGTGCAATTACACACGGGCATGATGGTGATTAGATTTGATATGGCCACGATAGCCTTAATTACTAGCAAAAACTGAGAGACCGTGAGGAGCATTAACAACCTTATATCGGCAGAATTGTGGATAAACAATCAGTTTGCGCCATCGTAGTGGTTGCAATGCTCCTCAAATGCCAATGCCCGGAGCTGTTGCTGTTAAACGTCCTGTACTCAGCAAGCAACTTCTCAGATCATTGCCGGGGACAGGCGGTTCGCAAACTCGCGCTTTTTGCAGGCGCTCAGCAGAATTTGGGGCATGGTCAAACCTTCAGCGGGCCGTACTTCCTTTACTGTCGCATGTACTGCCAGCGGGAAGCAATATTGAGTCATTTTTGGGCGTACGCCGAGCAAAAGTAAAACTGTCTTGCAGAGACGTCATCGATGGTTTAATTATCCGAGTTTGGGGTACTTTCTCTGGGGTAGCGGAAGGTACTAGTGGCCTGTACGGTCCTTCACAACGTACGGTCCTCAAAAATTTTGCATGTTCTCGCAAAAAGTCGGGGGGAATGCGGCCACTGCGCCGCAACTAAATTATAGAAAAATCGCGATCGTTCTTCGAGCATTCGTCTAAAAATTGGCCAACATTCTTCCAAATTTCTGCAAGCGTACCGCAATAGATCAGCGAACTATTTTTCCGGCGTTCGCTTGCCCAAAAATCGCATGGCCGCCCGCTCCCGGCGTTTATCTGAGTTCCTACGTTTGCGTTGAGAAGTGACATTGCATATAAGTTGCAGTTGCTTTAATCTAGGTTTCGCCTCTTCGCATCTTGGGATCTCCTGCTGCAGTATTCTCTGTTAATTGGAAGGCAATTCATTTTATTAAAAATGTACAATGTACTACAATTATGCATAGTCGTACTTCTCATGCTTATGCTATTTTTTACTCCCACAGTATGTCGTTGCACACCGAATCTGTTCTGCATGCTTCCAATCTATTCCATCCTAGCCACTTTTACCATACATTTTTTTGATTTGTTGTTTGGTAGTTGTGTCTTATATGCTCTTATATGCTACTTTCCACTTTTTCTTTTCTTTTTTGCCCACCATGTCTTCTCATTCAACTGCTCACTTATCTCTCTGTACCAACCAGCTCCTTGGGCCAAATTTGCAAATATCTGATGGAATCGATGAAAGGCCAATTGCAAGTGACTGATCTGATCAGTAAACGCTATGATTATTTTTCAATATCAATATTTGCTATACAGCTTTCAGATCCGTTGCTCAAACTTCGCAAAAGTTGTTTAAATGATAAAGTAATTAGTATTCTCACAAACGTGCCACATTCGTAATCAACAGTCCATTTACCCTTTGTATGAGCTCTCATCCCATAGCTCTAGGTTTGTAAGAAAAAACCGATAAAATTGATTAAAGTAGTGAGTCTCTTCATAAACGGTTACCATATTCGTCATCAGCGTCCTCATTTATTTCCCTCATTCAACTATTAGCCCCACACCTCAAGATTTACATCGATAAGTGGCGAAATCGAAGAAAGCAATGATAATTCTATAGGGCAATGCTAGTATGTGAATAACCCAACCGAGGTTAGAGGATGTTCAATGTTAGTGGCGACCTGACACTTTGACTCGTAGCGGGTATTCCATAATAATAGCACTCGAGAACGGCCGAATTCAGCATCCATCCGAGCGGCAGCTGCGAAGGAGGCTTCTGAAGAAGAAAAACAAGTCTGGTCGTCAGGCCGCCACTGACAACAAACATCTACTAACCTCGGTCTGTTTACTTATACAATGCGTCCGTAAAGTATGTATACACTGTTCGATCGTTGATATCTTTCCCTTAACAAATCTTTTGCCTTGCTTCAGGTACAGTTTTGTAGAGCTGGCTTCAGCTTAGACTTACAGTATGGAGCGAATCATCTATCGCTCTTCATTACTGTAGGATTACGGTACGACCATTGGAGGCTATATTCTGCCTCGGAACAAGACCAAACAATCCAAAAACTTTTATACTGCGGTAGTGGGACCGCTAATTTCAAATTTGAAATTCCCAATTTCTGTGTGTTTCTTTCTTAAGTAATCAGCGGTGAATCATAGTAACTCAAATCCCAGCATTTGTTAGAAATGTAATTACACCATCAAAAAAGCCGAAAACACTTGTAAAAAGTTGTTAGGTGGAATCAGCATGCGCGAAAACCCTAGTACACAGTTGATTTTTTGAAGAAAACCTCGCTAGGTGGTGTAGTTCAAATTGGTTCCATATGTTGGAAGTTCGTAAAGTACTTCTCCATTACTACAGTAATGAAAGGCGATAGATGATTCGCTCCAAACTGTAATCTAAGTGGAAGCCAGCTCTACAAAACGGTACCTCAAGGCAAGGCAAAAGACTTGTTGGGAAAAAAGATATCAACGATCAAACAGTGTATACATACTCTACGATACCCTGTATATGAGGTCGTTCCATAAGTTTATAGGATTTTCATTTTCGTCCTCATATCTTTGAGGAGCGGTTGGTTTGCGGCAAAAGGCGTTTATCATTTAGAAGGGCTGATTGTGCTCTTTAAAATGTGCGCACCGATTCCGATGGAAAGCTTCATTTGAATCTCGTAGCTTCCAAAGACGGAAAGCTTAAAAGGCAATAAAGAGCAATTCCGACAATTGCGCATTTTCCTCTTTGAAAAGACGCGCTTTTGCACAGATTTTTTTGTCGATTATGAGACATGGCGCTCGCACATCCATATGGGACAAAAAAGCATTAAATTGCTACAAAAGATCAGGGGCTGAGCAGTGTGTCCCTGAACAAGACTTTTCGGTGCGCACAGGATGTTCTGCACTAAAAATTGCTGTACAGGTAGGCGATGGTCAACCACACTTAAGCAATCCAACTGCACCGTCTAAACCAGGTCCTACCGCAGGAAAAGTTCAACAGACAAATTCAGTGAGCTTTTCTGTACGACGAAACATGGTCTCATATGACAAACGTCGTCAAAACTGTCCTGCATGAATGTCCAAGTTCGACTCTCGATTAATCTCGGCATGTTGCAGATGCTTGTTGTGGCTTGTTTAGCTGGACACAGGGATTGGTATATCCTTTATTCGACTAATGTTTCGACGGTATCGCCTTCTTCAGAGTCTGAAATTGTCGAATGCATAAGTGAATTATCCTGTCAAAAACCGCCTCAAGACTTAGAAAGACGCCCAATGCGTCAGTGTTTCGATTCAAATTTGAACTTTCGTCGTTACCGCCAAAAGTCCAAATTTGAATCGAAAAGATGAGTGCATAAATATCACTAATGAATTGGCGCCTTATCAGAGCCTTTGCGGCTTCTGAGGTCAAGTTGAGGCCAGGCGTATAGGTATATAAGAAAGTATGAGCTCAGTTACTGGTATAGTGGTCTGCAATACCACTTTGTCGGCGTCTGTTTAGGTAAGCATTAGTTTAATCCTGCATTCACTTTCGAGTTCTTCGCTCACTGACGCATTGGGCGTCTTCCTAAGTCTTGAGGCGGTTTTTAATAGGATAGTTCACTTGTGCATTCGACAATTTCAGACTCTGAAGAAGGCGATACCGTCGAAACGTTAGTCGAATAAAGGATATACCAATCCCGGTGTCCAGCTAAACAAGCCACAACAAGTGTCCTGCATGATTTTACTGGAAGGTACTTCAGAATTCAACAAACTCTCCAAATCTCGCTCTATCAGATTATCAATTGCTCCGCTCATTACCAAATGTCATAAATGGTGCATGTCTCAATTTCAGTAAGTAGTCTGTTGTGCTGGTCAGATGACTTCTTGGGACCCGGTGCGTTGCTGTTTGAAAAGTTGAGATTGAGAAGCTAACAAGAATGTGCCAAAAGGTCGTGCGCTATAACGAAGAATATAATTTTGATTTTTAAAGTGTTTTGAGCCACACAGGTTTTGCAGTTCTGCAAATCTTGTGTGGCTCAAAACATTTGAAGAATACAGTTAATGCCCAGGTTTAAATAGGAACTTTGAATAATTTTGATTGATTTTTACTGTAAATTGATGGTTTGGTTGGTTTATTAAACGGAACTTATGGAACGAGCTAATACTAATCCACGAACAATGCCGAGATTAACGAAAGAGACTCGGATTTTCTTACCAAGACGTATTATTTGATTCGTAGTCTACATGCTCATCTACCACTGTGCCCACTCTTGACGCTAATCTATAGTTTGCAGGAAAATTGATCAAATCGCGATTGATAACAAAGAAGTAGCCTATGACACCCTCCCGGAACCAAAGTGTAGGCGTGCGAAGTTGAGTCAAATTCAGTACCAAAATGAATACTTTTTTTGGAACATACGAATACATACATGCAGACAGACAGATGTAAAACCACAATTATTTGTTCTACACTCCATTTCATCCTCACAACAGAGAAATGTTCCAACTCATTCTAGGTTCCTACCATAAACGCAATTGGTGAGCAACTTGCAGGCTGCTCTACCTAAAACATGTGTCGACATACCTTGCATATGCAATCTCACGAAGGGGATAATCTCTTCTTCAATATATCAGTCAATTATGAGGTAAGTACCATTGCGAGGAAGGTTGCATGTCGTTTTACCCATAGTGAGTTGGCTGCAGTTGCTTTGTTCGCAACGCGCTCCCACCGTTGCACAGTCGAAACCTGTACTCTAGCAAATGTGCGCCTTATCAACGCGGTCACCATTATTTTGTATGCGTGTACGCGTAATTTTGAGGCAAACCGGTGTATACCTCGCCATAGTCTTGTGAGATGTTCCGAACTGTCACGATATAGTCTTTTTGTAAGGACCGTGGAAATTCGCGGCGGGCTCTTATTTACTCCTACATGAAATGATTCAATTCAATCCAAAATCTTGCAGCAAATTTCCTGATCATTCGCTATCATTCGAATTTAGAAGTGGGGCCATATAGGTATAGAATGTGTTGAATAATGATGAACTACTGTTGGTTGCGGAATCGTTTGTAAATACCAACTCACAATTTCCATTCCTTCATCAGCGGGACCAAGTAATCGAACATCTTCAAAGTATGCAGCAAAACCTTCATTGAGCCAAAGCTCTTCCCACCAGCTCAATGTTACCAAATTGCCAAACCACTGAAAATAATGTCAGTTGTACTCTAAAAATTCTATGCATATGAATTTTCACGTCAAAATGCAATATGCTCTTCAAAAAGCAGGTTTCTTCAATAACCATGCGCTCTAGATTACTCGACTAGTCAAGTTTGAAAATGTAACTTCGTGATATCATGAAAAGCAGCGATAACCCGCCCGTTTCGTGCTTTTAGCAATTATATCTAATATTTCTCCTGGCTCGGGTCTGAAGTGCTAAAAAAAAGGTGGTGAAGAGATTTTAAAAGCTTCACAAGTTTTTAGAATGAACCTCGCATTTTGTAGATGGGCAAAAAGAACGTCGAGAAAAGATGCATTGATGCCACCGCCGTGTTCTTTCCTTTGACAAAATATGTATGCTTGAAGAAGAGCTGTCTCAAGACGTTATCATGCACGCGAATTAGCCATCTTTTCAAACTAGAATCCTATTCATCATTGCATGAATGGGAAGTTATAATAGAGCGAAAGAAAAAGAGGATATATTTCAATTAATGTTCTACGTTCATATGGATTGATTTAATTCAAGAAGAAGGTTTTTGAATTTGTTGAAGTGATTTGTATGCATGGTAGAAATTTATTATATGTAAAACTTTCGGAAAAGGAAGAAAACCAAAATATATGAAAGTTTAACTGTCTTTTACCGCAATAGCATAGCATATAAGCACATTAGATGGAAAACAACTGCTTCGCGAGCGCAAAGCGTGCAACTTTAGCTCAGTCGTCTGTACTCGACTAAAGCAATCAATTCTCATATTTTAGGTTTCCATAAGTTCGTAAAGTTTATTCTTGTCCTCATTTCTTAGGTGGGTGTCAATTTGCGGCAAGCCGGGCATATCACTGAGAAGAGCTAAGCGTGCTCTTTACGCGAACTTGTCGCATTCAACGAAAAGCTGATCAATCCTCACCTGTATCGATTTATCGCGAATCGTACAAACGGTGTCTGCTTCAATTCAAGACTACGAAACTTGTTAGAAGACTTTTTGCAACCAGATTTCCTGAGCTGTTACGAATTTTGAGTGAAAATATGAGTGCAAGGTGGAGGAGGTTGTGCGCAACCACAAAACAATACAACGTTGAATGAATTTTGATAAAGAAATGTGTTTTGTCAGGCCACCAAAATTCTGCGAACTTATGCAGCGAGCTATTATTACGCTATCTTCAGCTCTACCAGAGTAAAGATTTCAGCCATTATCACGATCATTTCTCATAAAAAGCATGCTAATGCGCTTTATAAAAGATATTCAAACGTAACCTTTCATAAGCTAACCGGGAACGAAACTTTATGGCGTTCAATTCAGTTTTTCTACATATTAGTGGCCCATATGTTATATGACAAAATTCACGCCCACAGAAATGTGCAAAAATGCGTGAAGAATGACATTTTGTGGAAAATTCCATTTATTACTGCCTTTTCTCTGCGGAAACACTGCTCGACAAGAATCTGCTTACAAAAGCATTGTTACGTATCTTCTTCGTAGAACTGCTTTTCGAAAAAATTGCAGTGATAAAGATATTTTCGTTAAATGGCTTTTTCTCGAATACTATGCTTTTGCATCTTCAAGCTAGATTAGAGCCTGCCGCAGAAAATACGTACTACTGCTTTGCGTAAATGCGCGTAAGCAAATTGAAAAAATTTCAAAGAGCAGTTTTGTAAGATTATCTCGGTGTCTTATAAAATACTAACTGGAATACCTAGCCTTGTCTGGCTTGTATGATGTAAAAAATGCGCTATAATGAAGCCAACGATAGAAAGAATTGAACTAAAGCAAAAAGTTTGCCTTAGGGTGTGTCTCGCGTTTTTCAGACCTTTCTCTTCTCTTCTCATTTTTTATCTTTTTATATTAGGGTTAACCTTGTCAACATGCTCTCTTCTGCGGCGGCATCATTTCCGTTGTGCAAAACAGGATGCAAATATTTTGCATTTACTCTTCAACAAGACTGCTCGGCTACCATGAATGTACGCGTTAGCATTGCAGGGATGTGACCGATTAGCATATCACCATTCACAAAATTTAAAATCACTTTCTATTGTGTCTCTCCGCTATTCGGTTGTCTCTGTGACATCCACTCCACATTGCTTAGTCTCGCCTACTATGGAGGTCAAGCCGTATCTGCTCAATTTTTGAGATATGTTCTTTAATGAAACTGGCTATAGGAGTAAGTGTAGCCTATTTTCCCATTTTTAGAGTAATACTACTGTCTTTGAAAACTTCCACATTGACACAATTCATAACAAAGAACATGGATTTGCATCACCTTTTACGTCTTCTACACAACTGCCAAGAAAAGATTTCGTTTTTACTATCTTCTGTAATGTTTTGCCACACAGGTTTGCTATAAGTTTTATTTATTCAGCCTGACGTTTCGGCAGTAATGCCTTCCTCAAAGGCCTTCTTTACTTTCAACAAACCTGTGTGGCAAAATATCATAGAAGATAGTGCTGCTACCATGCCCAGGTTTTACGAACAGAAAGCATATGAGATTTCATTTTTTTACACGTTTTTTCTTCTTCGTCACATTAGTCGATTAGCCAGACATGAAAACGCATAGCGTAGTTTAACCTACTCCTTTTACACTCACGCTGCTAAAATGATGATACTTTTGAGAAAACGTTACTATAAGCTTGAACGCACACGAAGCAAACCTAAAAAAAGGACTGAAGAAGCTGAAAACTCCTACACTAAGTAATCGGAGCCGCAGATTTTGAATACGAGACTCTACATCGTCACGCTTTTCTCATAGTAAATTCCAGGTTCTCTCTTCTTTGAATTCGGGCATCTTATGTCGTGAATTGTAATAGATGTTCTGCCAAGCCCAGATTAGTACGGCGGAATCTTTATTGACCTAACGTTTCGGCAAGGTCGTCTTCTTCGGAGGTCTGAAAGATGATTGCAGTCCTGACCTGTGAAACTATTCCGCCAAACGTCTTCTCCGTACTTATTGAGTCTAGACCTCGTCTTATGCACAACGTACAGAGAGTCACGCTGACAGAAGGAACCAAGCGTTGATCCACCATGATGAAGATGTTAATGGTCCGCAGGAAGCAGCGGACGATAGCCGCGGAGATGTTTCGGAAGACGACACTGAGTGTCACTTTGTGTCTCGCGTCTATATATAAGGCAGCTACTGTTCACATAGTGATAGAAAAGGCAGAAGATCATTCGTCACTGACAGGCATTCATTCTTGTTATTCATGCTTGGGCTCTTCAAAGAGATCCACAAAGCTTCCAGTATCTTTCGTGCAGAAATTTCTGTCTCGTATGCCAAGATAAAACATTCGACCTCAAACTCAGGTCCGCCATGTGCTTCAAATCTATGCTTTCCCAACGGTGATACCAATTTCCCTCGTCTTTTGTTTGCTAAGTGCTCTTGGACCCTGATATTCAATGCTCTGCCCGTCTTACCTATATAGGACGTTCCGCAACTTGAACACACTAGTTGGTACGCGACCCCTGACTTCGCGCAATCTCTTAATTTTCCGTATGGGCAAACAATGCATTGTTCTAATACGGGTGAAATCAGCTTGCTTGAAAACCTTGTTACACAATTTTCCTTTTTTTGAGTTTTATTGGGTTTCATTGCGCCTATCTTGCATTGGCGCTATATGCTTCCTACTGTAATCCCGCAGTAACAAAGAGAGATCGATGATTCACTCAAAATTGTAAATCTAAGTCGAAGCCGCGCTACAGAATTATACCGGAACCTTCTCGAACGATTTCAGGACAAGAAAGTAAATAACAATGAAACGGGAGGCACATATCATATTTAGAACACCATCTTTAGGTACTTTCGTTTTTAGCATATGAATGATTGCTAGCTTGATTTTAAGTTCGTTTGCACTGCTTTTTTCAGCTTAGAAAAGAAAATTTCCTGCGTTATCCGATGTTATTGAAGTAATCTCGAGTCATTTGTAACTTAATATGTGAAACCGCACACTAAGCCTTATAAACGACGGCACCCATACTAGTAACTTTCCGCTAAAACATTTTCTAGCCACAGGTTCTAATCTTGAAGTTCGTCAGTTGGCATGCATAGTGTGCACTACGCATATTAAGTTACAATTGAATCGACGATAGGCGATACAGAAAAATGTTAGCAGTTTCACTTATACGTAGTTCTTTTACACTCTGATGATATTTCAGGTGCGATTCTCACTGAATTTGGCATAGCGTGGAACTTCTGAGATGATTGTTGAGCCTTGTGCCAAAATTGTTAAAATCTTTACTCCGGCTTACGTTTTGGGCGCGTCGCCTCCTCCAGACTTGGAAAAGTTAAAAGCCTTGCGAATCAACCGCTGAAACGCCCAATCAGCCAAGGAATTCCTTCAACATCATGCCAAGCACCACTATGATACCAGAGGGTCAAATATAAGCTAGTGCTTATCTCAGTAGCCTTAGCGATAAACAGAGCGAGTGCACGAACTAAATTATGCTCCCGTTAATGAAATGGCGCCTTTTTATATGCATCCGACCTCAATCTCGCAAATAGGTTTTGATCCCAAAGTAAGTCATTGGTCACGGCGATGCATCCCTCCTTGCGATTCATTAAAGGGTTCTTGGATGTTAACCAGACCTCCTCTAAGTTTTTCGAACAACTACCTCGTTTTCTCGCAATAGGATCGCGACAGTTGTTTTGAAGGTGCTATTATCAGCTTAACAATGCAGTTTTTTCAATTTTTCGAGGCCACCCAAGTGTTTCTTGATAACTGACAAGGGAAGTCACTTAACTTAGGTCGCCCTTTTGAAATGAGACACATATATTCAGAATCAGCTCGGAACGCTGATTCCAAATGTGATATCCTAAGCTGCGAAGCGTTCCTCTGAAGCGAATTATGAGCTTTTTTAGTATGTGTCATTGACATATAACTGAATATGGAAAGAGGGCCTTTCGATGAAAATCTGCCCAAAAAGTGGTGGAAGATTGAAATAACATCAAATTGAGTCACTTGGCTTTGATAGGGTGTAGTATGCATTTGAACCACTACCTAGATGATGATACCGTAGCATGCCTAAGTCGGTCAACACGCAAAGTTTGCTCAGGAAAAAGCACATAACTCGCTTCAGAGTAATGCTTCGCGGCTATGGAAAGCAGATTTGAAATCAGCGTTTCAAGCTGATTGCAACTATATGTGTCTCATTTCAAAAGGCCGACCTAAGTTAAGTGACTTCCCTTGTGAGAAGTCAAAATTATCTGCACTGTTAGGCGCTCATCGCAGGCATCCATAATAAAAGCTCCTTTGTAAGGACTGCCATGATCCTATCGCGAGAGGATAGCGTGAAAAACTTTAGAGGCGCTCTTAACATTTAAAGATCCTAACATGAGTGCAAAAAGAAATGCACCGTCATAACTATTGAGTTAGTTTAGATTAGTTTAGTTTTATGAGCATCCATCAAAACTTCTCTGGAATTTGATCTGCGAGGTCATGGTAAGATGCATATAAAAAGACTAGTGATGGCATAATTCAATGGTAGTAATGGTATTACGCGCTCTGATCACCTCTAAGGCTATTAAGAACTCTGGTATCGTAGTAGTGTCTAGCATGATGTTGAGTACAGTCTGCCCCAATCGGGATCAGGCCGAATCGTCGGCTGAATTTGCGCGCTCGCAGCGTTAGCGGTTTGTGCTGCATATGCGCGCTGTCGCAGAGAGCGAAGAGATTGATGAGAGAGCAGACTAGCTAGACGCAGAAGTGGCGCGAAACCCTCGCGACGCGCACTCCCGCCAAGCCAATTTTGGCCTGGTTAGGATTGGGGCAGATTGTATATTCTGTGGCTGACTAGTTGAGCGGATAATTCGCAATGTTTCTAACCTTTCCGGACTTTGAAGAAAGCGACGACGCCAAAACATGAATTCAACACTCTTTCATACCCTTTCTAGCAAACTCGCTTTAGTAATCTTTCAAAAAGTGTAGCCGGATGAGACCACAGACCACCACCATCATCATCCGAAGTGTCACGTTGCGCAGGAGTCATAAAACATAGGATACAGATTCAGTGGTAACCTTTCAATGAGTCATCTCATTTACGAACAGTTCTGTTAACACTGTTAATAAGGTGACCATCGTGATAAACGATACTGATGATTTTTACGCTACATGTACACTACATTTTCAGCACTTTCTGTAAATTTTGCGTTGGTAGAATTTTGCAAAACCTGGTGTGTGAGCTCATGTGCGACAGTAGTCTCGACTTGTCTTCGCCTTTCATGCTGCTCTCTTTTGAATTCTAGCGGATCCTTATGAGACTTTTGAGATAAATCCAGCAAATAGGCTTTCCTAAAGAATAGTCAAGAAAAAAGCAGAAAGTTGGTCAAAGATCAAATCCTCAATTAAATCCTTAATTCACGCCAACCTAAACGTAATCATTCCCCAATTTTCCATTGCGCCTGCTTCAAAGTTTTCCAATGCGACTAGATCTGCAAAGCAAAGTTCATAATGCGAAAAGACAAGCTGGAATAATAGCATATGAGTTGCGGAGTGATGTCCGTCTATAACCCATTAGAAAAAATTGAGACTGCAGCTTTTCCTTTGTTGAGAGATCATTACCTGATTTTGACCCAAAAAGAATGACTTTTGAAAATTCGGTGAACTATTGTAGAGAAAGAAAATAATCGGAAAAACATGAGCAGAAAAATGACTCATTGCAAACTTCCCTCACTTATTTGGCTGCTCTATAAAGTGGTTTCACCTTATATTAGCTGCCATAAGATGCAAAAAATCTGAACGAATGTTTTCAAATTTATTCCCAGACAGTGTATACATTTTATGGGACCCATAAAATGTCCATATTGTTTGGCAAGCGGCAAACAATATGGACACTGGCAAATGCCCAACCGAAATAAAAACTAAATTATAAAAAATTTGAAGTTTACGTTTCTTTCATTTTCATATTTTATATATTTAATGTCGCCTTGTAAACCTTGCCCTACCTTGCTTTGACATGACATCATTCACTCCGAAGTACTTTTCGAAGGACTCCATTACAGTGGTAGCTACTTTCAGTCCGTACTCTCTTTGCGATTTTGTAGCAGGAGCTGACCACAGCCGGAACTAGTAAAAAATGACAATGATGTAAATTAAGCCGCCCTGAAGTTCACGCAACAACTCACTCTTACTCCTCTGTTTGTTTGCATTTGGTTATATGTAAATTCAGACACTAAAAGAGCAAGAAGATACGATGACATAATAGGAGTCGGCTCAAACGTAGATGTTGTCCATTTTCCGCCTTGTTGACTAAATTTTAAGTTAATCATGATTTATAATAAGTGTTAACAAGCAGAAAGCCCCGAAATGCGCACGTCACTGCGGATTCATCTATGCATCTAAATATTCCTGGCTTGATAAACACTAGGTTGGAAAGAGGGCACTGCCTCTTCTTGTGTTACTGAATCGGGAGAATATGATAAAAATTCAGGATGGCGCTGTGTGTGTATGTATGTATGTATGTATGTGTGTGTGTGTGTGTGTGTCAGATCAGATAGGGTAGACCTTTTGCCAACTTATGCAATTTTTTCTTCTTTTTAGCTGCTTTTTCAGATCTTTGCTAAATAATCTATATGTATATAAAACTCAAAAATTGTCAGTTTGGAGGGTATGTGCGTTATAGAAACGCGCGCCGCTCAACCGATTCGGCTGAAACTTTGCACACATATGTTTTCGACCCCTGCGCAGATGATAGGCTACTTTTTGCGGCGATTCATTGGGTCCTTCTATCGAATTATCGATTTGTTTACGTGATTCTAAGGAATTGAAGGCTTATCATGTTTAATCAAGCATTTTTCCATATTCATGTAAAGGAGGGAGGTGAAGCTCATTTTCACTTCAGGATCACGAGGATGCGGTTTCGAGCGGATGTCCCAGAGTAGGTCATTTATAACATATAAGATGGGGGTGGGGCTCGCAGTGCAGGTGAGCAATGGCTCGGGCTGAACCGGGAAAGCCAACTAGTTTTCTAAAAGTCTTGTACTCTGGAAAATCGCATAACCTATTATTGCACCAAATACTGCAAAACCTGCAGAATACTGAGGATTCAACGCTCGATTATTATTACTGCGATCATTACAAAGTAAATGGGTGATTTTCGCTCCAAATTATGAAGATTTTGAAACATAGGTTACGTCAGTGCGCACTTCTGAAATTGAGAAATAATGCGGTTTTCCCCACAAATTTCGCCTGTCTCAGCAAAAAAAGATAAGTGTTAGAAGGAGAGGAAAAACTTGCATCGAATGGTGGTTGAAGTGTTTAACATTCTAGGTTCTACGAGGTTAAAATATTCTGAATGTAAAATTTGGTTACTTCAAAAATGAATCGTAGAAATTCTGAACGACAAGCCATAAGGCTACAAAAAATTGCTTCTGTTGGCAAAAGTTTGCCCTATCTGATGGTTATCAGGGCCCCTCCGAAGGTCTCATGCAAAAATTTTGAAAATTAGTGAAATCTTGACATGGTAAAAAAGAATGGTTGCAGTTATCGGATACATTTTGACATGTTTGTTTATCTTCGTTCTAGCGTGTTTGCCGATGGATTGAAAAAAAAAACTGATAAAACTTTTGCACCGACCTAATATATTAGGTTGTCCCGAAAGTTTTGTTCGTTTTTTCAACCTATCATAAAAATACGTGGAACAAAGATAGGGAAACGCTCTAAGCACTACCCGACGCATTTTTTCCTTCTCTTTTTAAATGTCAAGCCCATATGGCGAGTACTCTTTTGCTCACTGAGATAAGCGCCGAAATTTCGAACCCATGGTTTTTACTATGTCCAAGTTTGACAATTTTTCACAATCTTCATTTTCAACTTTTGGAAGACTTTTGATAGCTCTCAGATAGAGCAAGCGAAGTGCAATGCAATGCAATTATTTAGCTTATCTAGCTGGCTTTTCAATATTTTTAAAGATAATTTTTTTCAAAAGTCTTTACTTTTGCGAAGTTCTAAAATAGAGAAAAAAACACCTCGAACACCAACAAATCATCGGATTTTGAATCTTTCAAAAACCGATTACGATTACTCACTATTTTTACGAAGCAAGTGAGCGTTTACCGCTACGAAATGTAAGAATTTGCATTTTACGTGTACACGCTGGGGTGGGGTCAAATTCAAGAATCATGAAAATTTTATCGCCAAAGACTTCGCAAATTGGAGAGAAAATACACTCACTGGAAAGATGAGGAAAAGCTGCATCGAATAACACCTTAGTTGTGCGCCGTTTCATGATCTCTGGGTTTTGGCATCACCAAAAGTGGAATTTGATAGCACCAGAAAAATAATTTTAAAAATTTTCAAGGCTGGCTATAGATGCCGCAAAATTGCATTATATTGCCCTTTGTTTGCTCTAACTAACTGTTGCCAAGCTTTTCCGAAAGTCAAAAATAAAGATTGTGAAAAATTGCCAAACTTGGACATAGTGAAAACCATGGGTTCAAAATTCGGCGTTTATCTTAGTGAGCAAAAGATTATTCGGCATGGGAGCATGAAAGTTAAAAAGAGGAGGAAAAGATGCGTCGGGTTGTGCTTAGAGGATTCCCTTCTTCGTTCAACGTATTTTTATGATAGGTTGAAAAAAAGGACAAAACTTTCGGGACAACCTAATATTAGGTTGGTCCGAAAGTTCTGTCTCACCATTTTCAAAATTAATAACTTCTTCCTAAAACGATGTTTTTGCAAGTTCAAAACCACGTTGAAAAGAGCAATTTATACGCCTTTAGTAACATTTTGGCTGCTATCTACTAAGCTCTGAATGCAGAGATAAAATTGGGAAAAGGAAATCACTTCAAGTTCGGAATTTTTGAGCAAGCCCGTTGAAAAATCCAAAACTGTGCCATAAAATCCAAAACAGCTAGTAACCTAGGTTTTTTGATCTTCTCTTTCTGTATAAGCAAAATTCGCGCTGAGAGCGCTGATGGAGCTTTTCCTAGAAAAGTTCTGATTTTCAAGAAAAAATGCCAAAAAATCAGTTTGTTAAGAAAATTGATTTTTTGACATTTTTTTCAAAAAATCATAACTTCTGAAGCAACAACTCGATCAGCGTGAATTTTGCTCAGCTGGAAAGAGGGGACCAAAAAGTCTAGGATACTGGCTGTTTTGGATTTTATGGCACAGTTTTGAAATTTTTAACGGGCTTGCTCAAAAATTCCGAACTTGAAGTGATTTTCTTTTCTCAATTTTATCTCTGTATTCAGAGCACAGTAGATAGCAGCCAAAATGTTACTAGAAAGCGCATGAATTGCTCTTTTCAATGTGGTTTTTTACTTGGCACCTTCTCTTTCTAGCTGAGCGAAAATCGTGCCAATCGAGGACAATTTTGATTTTCGTGCAAAATGGAGACCCGAAAATCCGGAAATATCACGGAAATCAAACTGCTCTCTATTTGCACGATTTCAGCTCAGCTAGAAAGAGGTCACAAAGCCATTGTCCACGACTTCCCGGTATTTTCTATGACATTTCTAGGCTTTTTTGAGCATGCTCAAAAATTAACTGACGGAATTTTATTTATTTGCTTCTAACTCTCAATCTTTTTCGTTTAAAATCACGGCAAAGGTACCGCTGCGATGTGCAGAATGTTTTCTATCAAACAATATTTCCAGAATTTTTCGTGATCTAGCTTGAAAAATGCCAATTTTGATTGATTTCCTTCAATTGCCTCCAGCTCTGAAACTTTCTAATGCCTATTCATGGCAAAGGCAATGTTGTTGAGAGAAAAGTTTCTTTTTTGAATAAAATATATTTCAAGAAATTCCATGAATGGCATGTTATGATTTTTGAAAATCTGGCGCAAGAACTTTTGGGACAACCTAATATATCAGGTTGATGCATAATTCCTGCACTAATAAGTAGGCACAGACCGCAATAATTCGGAATAATCTTATATCCCAAATAGGATTCGATATATCATTAGATAGAGCAAACCTAGCCCTACAAGCTCGTGCTCAGATATCTCACCAGCTTCGATCCACGCGAAGTTTTAAGCCGAAAAGTGAAAAAACCATGCGTCCGAAAACCCTAAGACCACTCGAAAGAAAATTGTAACTTTGTTCAAAAAGCTCCTACAAAGTTTCTTTTTTGCTCACGCGTAGACATCCCACGTAAGACATTTATCTATGCGGTTGCTGTATTTTTTCTCAACTAGACGATGAGAAAACGAAGTTTTCTCATGTTTTTGCCAAATTAGTGCTTGATGTTCTAGTATTAACAATTGTATAATACATGCCGTTAGCAGGAAAACTTTACATTTTCCGCCTTCTAAAACTGCTATTTCCGCGAGAAATGACGAATCTAGCTCTCCTTATCCGAATTTTTCTCGCCTAGTTGTTGAAAATTCGATATTTCTCGTAAACCAGCTGCTCTAAAGAGCTAAAACTTCAGAGTCATGCTTCTAAATTCCTATAGAATGCAAATGTCAGTGCTAGAACATCTCAGCATTGTTTTGGAAAAAAACGTGAAAAACTTCGTTTTCTTAGTTTCTAGCTAAGAAAAATATACAGCAACTGCATAGAGAAATATCTTATACGGAATGACAATGCATGAGCATGTTAGGATTTTTCAAGGATTTTTTGAAAGGACTTCCAATTTTTTCTTGGTTTTTTGGGGCGCTTGGATCTCTTTCGCTTTTGGTTTCAATCTTCGCTTAGATCAAAGTTGCTGCAAATCTTCAAGCACTATCTTGTAGAGCTAGGTTTGCTCTATCTAATGATATATCGGGTCCTACTTGGGATATAGGATTATTCCGGATTATTGCGGTCTGTACCTATTTTGGTGCAGGAATTATGCATCAACCTAATATATGATTTTATGCCAATTATTGACAAATTTAGTCACTTTCGAACAATTCCTCTTCGAGACTGGATCCGTTGAAGAGGAAAAGACATACCTATTCTCAATATGTTAGTGTAGCTTTGTATACCGCCTTGAATTAGGTTTGCCTTCTCATCTCTGTTTTGATAAGGCATGCAGTGATTTACGAAGTTAATGCGCACTTCAAAGAAATTTTTAGCGGCATTGTGCCAATCCCTGAGTGGATACATCATAGGTTACCGGAGTGGGGATTAATAATTGATTTAATGGCCAGATTCGTACCTTTTTTTCGTTGACCCTATCAAACGTTCTTTCTGCAGTGCTTTCCTATCAATCCAAGGCTGCAAAGCATGCGTTGCGCAGTTTTTTATGGCAAAAATTATGTCTTTCTATGAGTCTCTCACTATAGTATTTGATCTCGCATCAGTGAATAGGCTGGTTTTCCTAATGACTAACCTTGTTTTGACCGAAATCAGTTCGAATGAAGTAACACTCACGTTATCACATCTGATTCCTTAGCATTTGAGATTGCTATGGTCCCTTTAGGATGTATTATCTTTACTTTCCAAAATGCTTTATACTCTGGCTCATCAAAACAAGGGACCATCTTTCGGGCACTTGTCGGCTCCACATGAGTCACAGCTGCTATCCTGAATCAAAAAACTATGGGTGTTAAAAGATTGTTTGTTTTTGTCTATCCTAAAATCCACGGAGAGTGTAAAAGTTTCTCTTCGGTCAACGCGGCTGTACTTGAGGAAAAACAGAACCCTTTGAGACTTTTGAGGCCTAGTAATTCTTTGCTTTTAATGATTTTCACTGTATATTGGAGTATCACAATCACACAAAACAACTTGTAGTTTCAAAAGTTTTGTTTAGTTTTGTATGCTATCAGCTGGGGTTTTGATAGTCACATGGACTAGGGAGGGAGGAGACATCCGAAGGGGCGACACTTATGCAAAAAGTGAGCAATGTAATTATCCTCCCCTCCAACTCCTGCTCAACGTCACCTATGTCATTTTGACATATAGCCCGCTATTGCCTCCTCCTTCTTCCCATCGTTTTTGCCACAAAAGCGGAGAGTGTTTGTAAGATATAAAATTGATTTTCTTCTGTACTACTCCCTATAATATGATCGAAAAATCAAATATCTGTCTTACTTTGTTTTATTGTTGCTATCCCGGTAGAGATTTTGGTAAAGTCCATTGCTTCCATTGTTTATTGGCGCAGAGTACGGGACCTGCAGTACAGTAACATTTTTTATTTGTTTTAGTGTTCTGTGCAGCCTTAGCATATCTATTTCAAATCTGATACTGCAGCCGATGCTAAACTCCTATGTAATCCGTTGCATTTTGACTGCGTCGTTCAGCAGCGGAGATTAAATAGCTTTTTATCTACTTTTAGTCGGATTTTTCAGACCGCCGGCTTTGGTTCAAATCGATTTGGCAAAGGGTGCACAATATTTGGCTAAAGCTTGCGAAGACTTATTCTAGCCCATGCTTTTTTATTCTGTTTTACTCCTGCAAACCACTGTTTCTTTTTTCCTCGGCTCCTACTCCGAATCGTTACCTCAGCGCTTTGCGCAAGATTTGTCTTTACCATACCCCGCCGCCAATATTGCTTAACATTACATTCGGGCTAAAGCTTCGGTTTGCTTTCACAAACTTGAAAAGATCAGAGACCTTAGAGGGTCATCCGTTCAGACATCTAGCAGCATCATTCAACACCATGTCTAACGCTACTTACCAGAAGGTCAAAAGCAAACTTAAAAAAAGACGATTTCGAAGCTTAAGGAGTTTCGATTTCAACTCCGACAAAGTCGCAGTTTGGATGCTGTAATCGCACATATTTCTTTGTAAAGCAGTTTGTGCAACGAGAACCTAGCATATTCGCACCAGCTAACGAAAGCTATGTGCCTATGGATTGAAAATCTGCGCGACGGAATTGTAGACAGCTGATAAAGGGCGTCTTAAAAGTAAGTATACAGTCAAATAAATGTGCTTTCTAATCTGATACTGCCTCCGACAAAGCCTCTTTCCTAGCTTCGAGAATCGTTCAGTAGAGCAAGCTCAATTTAGATTTGAGATTTGGAATTTTTCATTGCTATTCTTTACTTTAGGACTACGGCAGGAATTTTGAGGAGGGTTCAAGCTACTTATGGCTACATCCTGTCCCAGTATAGATACTCAGCAAGCTGAAAACTATCATTTTATCAGTTACTAGCTGGCTTACCCGGCTCCGCCGTATCCGGACCAAACTTGGCACACATACACTTCGGGCCCCGGCGGGTGTCACAGTCCACTTTTCGTTATCGATCGATGTCGATTTTACCGATTTTTATCGATTTTTTTGCAGAGTTCACCTACAGGGCTAGGAGTTGGCACAGGGGGGGAAGTGAGCATGGGGATTCCGAATACAATATTAGTTTTCAGAATTACCGATTACTTTTATTGATTTTATCGATTTTTTGTAAATTTTGACATGCGAGGCTGGGATTTTGCACAGGGGGGTAATCGAGCATGCTGATTACGAACACAATATTGGTTTTCAGGATTATCGATTACTTTTATCGATTTTATCGATTTTTTTGCAAAGTTTGAGCTACGGGGCTGGGTGTTTGCACAGGGGTATAATCGAGCATGCTGATCACTCCCCTTGGGGATGATCAGCATGCTCGATTACCCCCCCTGTGCCAACTCCCAGCCCCCTAGCTCAAACTTTGCAAAAAAATCGATAAAATCGATAAAAGTAATCGATAATCCCGAAAACCAGTATTGTATTCGGAATCCCCATGCTCGATTACCCCCCTGTGCGAACTCCCAGCCCCGTAGCTCAAACTTTGCAAAAAAATCGATAAAATCGATAAAAGTAATCGATAATCCTGAAAACCAATATTGTATTCGGAATCCCCATGCTCGATTACCCCCCCGTGCCAACTCCCAGCCCCGTAGGTGAACTCAGCAAAAAATCGATAAAAATCGATAAAATCGATATCGATCGATGACGAAAAGTAGCCTATGACACCCGCCGGGGCCCGAAGTGTATGTGTGCCAAGTTTGGTCCGGATCGGTTCAGAAATGGAATTTTCTATTCGGAACATACGTACACACATACATACATACATACATACATACATACATACAGACAAACAGACATTCAGCTTTATATATAAGATTTCAGGTGAAGGCAGCAACTTTTTTCAGTGTTTTTCAAAGTGTAATGGATTTGTTTAAAACACTCAAAACCTCGTAAAAAGCTGTTCAATCATCGTCACTCAAATAAGATGTCTGAACAGAGAACGATACTTGGTAACCCCGGCCCTTCATAATGGTTTGTATATCAAAATTGCGCCTTTTAATGCTGATTCAAATACTGTTTTTCATATCTGCGAAACGAGAACCTGTATGGAGTTATGATTATTTCAAAAATGAATTGCATTGCTGCGGAGGGTGAAAATCATTAATAGAAGCTTTTCTTTGCTATTCAATTGCTGAATAGGTTCAGATAGGTATAAATACAGCGTAACACCTTTCAAGATTCTCCTCAATAGCTTTAAACGGTAGAATAGATCAAATTGAGTGAATTTAACTACCTACGAGTACGCAAATTTTCTACGAAGAAAAGTTCATAACTGCCTTCAAACAAATTTAGAAACAGAGTTTCGAGATGCACCTTATGGTACACATCGCCATTCACATGGCCGGGGTAACCAAATATCGCTCCCTTGTGAGAGTCTGTTACATAACTTTTCAGAAAGCATAAAAAGTATGTATGCACTGTTTAACGTAAACGTACACCCCCAAGTCTACTGTCAACACCCAGGTACAATATTACTTTGTTCAGTTTAGGTTTTGGAGCAAATCGAGAATGTTTTCCACTGCATGACTACAGTGAGAAATTTTTTCAGCACGCTGCCCGCGGTGAACTAGCTGCCTTTCAAGAAAGTTACAAAAAAACCTGCAAATTTGTGTAACAGGGCTTTCACGCGCTGCTTTCACTAATGGAATTTCCAGGATCCTGTAAATCTTTTGAATGGTGTGATCACTATTTTAGTGAAGGCTAGAGAACAATTACAGCAGCGTAATCACTTGCAAACTTGCGAAGAAAGCAGCAAACTCATTTTCAGAACCAACAACTATGATTAATGCCAGAGTTTTTGGTTTGAACCTCTAAAGCACTCTTCCACTCTGCAGTTGTGTATTCCTGTGAGTCTTGTAGAACAGCTAAGAAGTGTCGCAATGTTTAACATCATAACTTATAATAACGGGCTAAGGTTGTTTACGTGTTTGTGTGTGTGTTTGTGTGTGTGTTTGTGTGTGTTTGTGTGTGTGTGTGTGTGTGTGTGTGTGTGTGTGTGTGTGTGTGTGTGTGTGTGTGTGTGGTGTGTGTGTGGTGTGTGTATGTATGTATGTATGTATGTCTGTGTGTCTGTCTGTAACGAAATTCGTAGAGCGAGTTTCAGCTAACATCCTGAGCCCAAATTTTGCACATCGCATGCGACCAACATAAGAGCCTACCGTGCAGAAGCACTAGTGGTTTTGTTGGATGGATCCCTCAGAAACTGCGCGTCAAACAGAACCACTTGGGTTTTGGCCAGCAAAATTGGTTCCGTATCACCACTTTTTGTAAAGAGATGTGTTTGGCATGCTGATGTGCAAGCCATGGATTTAGCCATGGATCCAAAAAAGTGGACAAAAGTTTACTACTTTACGAGAATGACGCCAAAAAATGGTTGCTTAAATGGTTAATTTGCCATGGTTTTACCTGAGCATTCGAGAAGAATTTTGCACAGAGATGTAGCTCACGTTGCCTACTGTCCTTATGGCAGCTATCAAGCCAGAAAGAGTCCAAAAACCTATTCAAATTTGTATTTGTTCTTCTGCGAAAAGTTTCATGCACGCGAAATCACCGATCTCATACGAAAAAGCATTTGGAATGGGTAGTTGTTTACATTTTACCCGCGATAATCGGCACTGCGCGGTGAGTTTCATTGCCACCGTTAATCAAGAATGAGTAAGGCATATAAAGTAAGACCAGAGCGAGATTCTGGAAGCAGAGGTGACGCACTGGTAATTTACACTTTGTCTGACTATGGATAAGAGAATTGTTATTTCACTGTGAAAAAAGATTCAATAACCAGCAGACTGGCAAAGCTTTTGCAGTGCAATGATGGTATTGCACTTTCCTAGCTCATTTTTAGAAGTTCGAAGGAGTGATATTCCAAATTAGGTGAGATACAGAACTCGCTACATGAGCTTAATCAGATATTGTAGAAGCTTTGAAAATTTTCTTTCCAGAGCTTCTTTTGGAGCATAACTTTCCCAGAAAAGCCATCTTTATAAAGAAACGACGCACATCCGTACATTTTCCGAGGGTCATCAAAGTATGTCAGTACCGCTTGCTCGTGCCGATAACTATGAAGGAGTTTTCGACTGCGTCGACACCATCTTCATCCGTCAGGACTGTCCAAAAACGGAAAGCTGTTCTATCCTCATCTCTTCATCTCAACTGGGAGTGGAGCTTGAGTGGCGAAGTTTCGCCGAAGCTGTTTAATGCAGACTTGCGGTGGATAATGATGTCACAAGACTAAGACGAGAGAGGCATGCGGGCCGCGAATAAATTGAAGGAAGAAACAATTTATACCCTTCGCAAATATGCGGCAATAAAATTGAAAGGCACTTCCACTGCGGAGGCTTTTCACGTGAAATCTTGACAATCGGTGAGCCTGTAGAACGAACTTGTTTCAAGAGGAGATGAAGAGCGGCCTAATGCGTCAACCTCTAAGAAAGGCCTCCAACGTCCCGTTTTTGGCTCAACCTCCTTCTTCGCTTTGTTACGCAGCTGAGATTTGGACCAACACTGCAGCCACGTCGGAAGCTCTACGGACCATTTACAGAGAGCAGTGTTCTGAAGATGGTCTGACGCAAGTAACATCTCGCTGGACTTCTCAAAAATATGGAAGAAATGTTCCGCTTTCGCGACTTAAGGACGTTACGAAAACGAAGCAGGACAGATGGCGTTGACTTTAAGAGCATTAGAATGAATTTTTAGCAAAACCTATTTGAGGAAGACCACCGAGCAGCAATGCTTTAAGAATGGATAGAAAACTGAGAATTTAGCGGACACGATCTTCCCACCTGGCGCTATTGAACGCAGCCACCGTTGACAAATAAGAAGATCTTGATGTCTGAAGCGAGGAACAGAAACAAGTAGGAGCTTTTTACTTGGGTCCGCGCGCTATGTGATGACATACCATCTGAGTGTCTAAATAAGTACAAAAAAGTAGCATGAGTCGCACTGGCTTTTGTCTGGCCTTTTGCTGCACCGTGCTTGAAAGATAGGAGCAATGCTGGAAAGCATAGAAAGCCACAGAAAACTTATAACTCTCATCTTCGAGTGTCTTCCCGTAGAAAAAGGCTTTTGAATTTTTAGAATCCAAAAAAAATTTTTTCAGCTTTAGCTTGTAGCACTTTTTTATATTAACGACTGCTATGATTTGCTAATTCGTGACTAATTTTTACACTTTTTAAGCACTTCCAAGCTGAGATCCAGTCTTTTGTATGAACAAGGGTTATTAAAATAGCTGTTGAAGATTTTGTTCTGACAGGGTGGGCAGTGAAGTTACCAACTGAACGCTGAATCCACCGTGATGCCGGAATCGAAAAAAAGGTCTGCCTAATTTCCGTATTTCTCGCCCAGCGGCCCTCTCAGATATTTTTCTTGCATGATGCCGGCTGAACTCATACATCTCGTCAAATGCTCGTGCCAGAATTGAGATCATGCTGAAAAAGCTATTCGTGATTAGGGCGCTGAGCGTATACGAAATAGACACTTCTTCAAATCTCGAACAGGTGTAGTAGTTTTACGCAGTTTGGAACATCACCAAAATACTGTGGTCTGTTTTGAGCCTACAACTAAGCTGTGAATGCTAATTATTGAGTATTTGCTGCAAAAGCAGATACTATGCTGCTAGAATATGATATCGAATGCAAACCTTTAGCATGACTTCCTGTCCCACCGGTAGACTATCTCGCAGATAAAAGCTAACCTTTTCGTGAGTGTGATCAAAATCAACCTCTTGTATATCGACAGCTTTGCCATTCTGAATACCATAGGTAAATATTTATAAAACTGAGTCCTATGCTTTTTGGATTGCAAAGATCAACCAGCTTTATGCTGCTTAGGTAGCAACAAAAGGTTTGACCAAAATTCGCCGCTACGCGCGCCACGCACACTAGTATGCTTACAAGGGAAGGGCTGATTCTAAATTAATGTTAACTATCTGCTGTGCTACTCTATGAACGAAATTATGGACTTTTTTCATATTGATTTTACGAGATTTAGGCAGTCATAACCGTCAGTACTCAGGCAAACTCTACTCTGATATATCAGAGGCAATTTTCCTGAGCTAATCGCGATGCTTTAGTTCATTTGGACGCTCTTTTGTTGTGCGTAAGCGAACATTCTAGCGCTACTGGTGAGTCATGCATCAATAGCGGTGCAAATGATAGTGGCAAGAAATGTTCATAACTTCTTTCGAAAAAGTGCACAGCAAACACCGAAAGAAGATTTGGAATCAGCGCTTTGAGATGTAATTGATGATGCACATTTCATTCTAAAAGGCCACGGTCACCTTCCCTTATTAGACAAACCTGAGTTTGGGCTGTTCAGCTCTTATAAATGAGTATAAACTCTATGATAAACCTTGAGTTTTGTTCTAGAAAGCCAACAAGAACACTGGCTTTTGGCTGTTTTTTAGAAGCAAAGATTTTGGGAAAGCTGTATGATTGATAGGACTGAAAAAGCTTTATCAATTAATCATTCAATTAAAATTTTCCTTTTCGAATATTGTCTAAACTCTCGCATAGGTTGACACCCTGCTGGTGCACGTGCAGGAGCAGCGGTGCAGCCGCTGCGCTTCCACGTCGGCCAAAACCATGATTTGGACTAGGGTTTGTACGAGCTGTGCAATCTGTGGTCATGACAAAAAGTCCTGATCTATTGCCTTTGTCCCCCAAGCAAGAGTCACAACTTCTTTTAGATCAGTTTAGAAATCTATTCAAAAAATAATAGGTTGTCCCATAAGTCTTTTCATCCCTGCCTTTCCACAGACATAAGTCAGTTTCTCTTACAAACCTAAAAAGATCTGGGTTATCGTTCGACAGATCAGAGCAATCTCTACAAAAAAGCGTTCAAAAGTTTGCATCAGGCTTGATCTGCATCAAGTTTTAAGCCTAAATAAAAAATCCGAGTTCCCCAAAAACAAAAATAATCGTGTTATAGTGCAAAAACTTCCGCGCATCTCCCACTCGCTCAGGCATATGCTTTCTTTATCAGATATTCAAACATACACTTGCTGCAATTTTTGACGACCAAAATCTAAGTAAAAATAATACGCAGATTCAAACTTTGCCCGTAGCCGTTCTGTATTTCACGCAAGTATGTGATTATCTAGCTTATTTACTCAAAATTCTTCACAAAATTGCAGGTTTGTGGGTGCCCCTAGTTACTGAGAAACATCAATTTGAAGGTTCGAATATGAAAAGGCCCATGGGACAACCTCAAAGGGTGGTGAAGTATTCCTTATAAGGGAATGGTTAGAAGTCGAAGTGGCCAATTCAAACAAGCTGCATACCATTCCATGCAGCATAGAACATTGATTTGAAAACTATTTTCTATATTTGCAAAACGCCTTTGTAGGCGAAGTTATGAGCAGCTTCATTGCAAAAAAATCGTACGCAAAAATCTCGAAATTAAGCATATAAATATTAGGGTGTCCCATAATTATTTACCGTTTTTACCTTAAACATCAGCATTTCTCGAAAACTAAGGTACCTTCAAAATTTTTAATTGCATGGTCACACTTCTGTATGTATGAGCTATATGATCACGTGTGTGGGAGGAGCTCAGGACTTCTAGAGCGGAGTTTGCCATTTTACTCCATTCAATTTTTTTTATCTTAGCCGTGGAAAAAAATACGAAAATTGTATAAATGAATGTTCGATGTGTGTGTCAAGCACATGGTAGATCAAATATGGAATTTTTTTTGGATTTTTTGGGGGAGATACGATTTTTGGCAGTGAAAATCGTTTTTGACTGCTATCATATTTCAGCTCAAAACTTTACGTGGATTACGATTTGTGCAGACTTTTGTTAGCCATCTTGTAAAGCTTGCTTTGCCCTATCGAATGGTTACTTAAAGGTGTCCAAGCAAAAAGTCGATTTCGAGATTTTGTGCTTACCTGGGCCTATTCGCTATACTGAATTCGAAAATCAACACTGGAGAGCGCGAAAACGCCAAAAAAGGCTCTAACGTAGGAGGGAAATTGCAGGTGGGCGGGGCCGTTCACACCGCGACGTCACTCTCCCAGGCTTTAGGAGCGATCTTCTCGGTTCCAATTTTATCTCATGCGTTTGTAGTTGGCTGGTGGTGATGTTAGGGCGACTAGCGGAGACGAGAAGATCGCTCCTGAAGCTGGGAGAGTGACGCCACTATGTGAACAGCCCCGCCCACCTGCAATTTCCCTCCTCCGTTAGAGCCTTTTTTTCGCTGTTTTCGTGCTCTCCAGTGTTGATTTTCGGATTCAGCATAGCGAATAGGCCCAGGTAAGCACAAAATCTCGAAATCGACTTTTTGCTTGGACACTGCCTTTAAGCCGCATCAATTGGAGGAAAGATACAAAAAGACGACCGTCGAAGTAAAAACGGTAAATTATTATGGGACAACCTAAAATTGCCCTTTTAGCTCATCTCTAGTTACGTGTCATATGAAGTGACATTGCAGCATGTTTTGATCCAGAACTGAGCCAGGAATGGCTGTACCAAGTCAACCCGCTACGTGCACGAATTCTCAACAAAATAATGACCGTTACAACCAGCGTCCCTTCAAAATGATGAGTACCAGGATTTTACAGTGTTGCTGGCAGACTCTCCAGCTAATCCACCAGTGAAGGTTGAAACGAAAGGTGTTTCTAGAAAGCCCAGAATCCGCTCCGGTGCCTTTCGGATCCCGCCCACTTCCAGATTTCGCTCACTTCTTACATACAATTTGGAGTGAACGCGGACACGCAGAGCTTCGAAAAAAAGCTCATTTTTGCCTTTTTCAAACGCTGAAAAGCTCAAATATGTCTTTAGATGGCAAGAAAACCCCGAAGAAATGAAGAGAGCGAAATTTTGCCGAGACGCTGCATTTAACTGCTTGGAGTCAGCGTTTTATGCTGCATCTTATAATATGCAGCTGACCATTCCTTTGTTAGCATCCTCATTTTTAGCGTAGTACTGCTAAACTTCGAAAGGGCGGTCGTATACACACTCGCACATGACTTATACATGATATGGTGTAAGAAAATACGAAAGTTAAACTTGAAAATACGGGAAACTGAACTTTACAAGTTAACCTAATACATACAATTTATTGTAACTCAATATTCTGCGACTTTTATCGTGATTTTTGTAAAGTGCCTGTTTTATTGCCTATTCACTGCAATAAAAACAGTTTTTAACTTGGATAATTCTTCTATGCCGTACAGGTTTTTATTATACACTTTATTACTGCCTTACGTTTCGGTTAAACACCGTCTTCAGAGGCCTGGAAAGGAGTCAGTCACTTTGATATTACTCTCCTGCCGCCAAAACCTCTTCACACCCGCGTATTCGATTCGTCTCAGGTGAAGATTGAGAGACTGGGCTAAAAGTCTACCCACCGAGTGTATCACCGTGGCAGCAGCGTATGCTGCCTCAGGACGTGCTCGAGTAACTTGTCGAATGAGCAGTTGGATCACTATGAGATGGCTTAAGTAAGGGTGACAATCTCATAGTTCGCATAGCGCAAGATATGGCAATAGATCTCTTGTGATAGAAAGCTTTTCATTCTTGCCGTTCATTTTTGGGTCACGGGCAAGTATGTAAGATGCTTCTAGAGCCTTTCGGGCAGCGATTTGATCTTCGAAGGCTAGAATCTAGCATTTGATGTTGTAATCGTCACCGCTGTGTTCTACATTTCTGTGTCTACCCAAAGGGGACACTATACTCTGTCGTTTTTTGCTGGCTAAATGCTCGCTTATCCTTACGCTTAGCGGCCGAAAACTGCCGGCCGGTTTGCACCTACCCAGAATATAACAGCGAAAACTTATCGCAGCGTGTTAGGATCACTGCAACGATTAAGAAACCAGCTTCGGATTAAGTTAAGACATGATGACCAACCACAAACAACCGATACTCTAAGTAGAAGAACACTACCACCAATACCGTTTCCATCTTCTTTCTATTAGGTTGTCAAGAAAATAATGTCGGTTTTTATTTGCTTGCTTTAACAAAGCAACCAGACTCAACCCAACAAAGGGTAAGGGGTACTGTTCGATAGAGCAAAGCAAGCTCTACAAGATGGCACTCATGCCTTTCCGCCATGCTCGATCCACGGAGAGTTCGAACTCAAAATCTAAAAATTTTCAAATGCCTAAAAAATCGAAAAAAATCAGATCTTCGTCCAAATAATTTCTACGGATCTCCCACTCGCTCACATCAATACTATTGATATCTGATATCCATATGTGCGATTACCGTATTTTTTCCTCGACTAGAAACTGAAAAAAGGAAAATTTTTCTGATTTTCTCAAAGCAATGCTGAGCCGTTTTTGCATATGTAGTTCTATACTACAAGCCTAGGTAAACATAACTGTAGATTTTCAGCCTATTTCGAGCGGTACTTTTTGAGAAATGTCGATTTTAGCATTGAAACTGAAACGAAAAAATCCGAATTCGTTATTTTTCGAAAACTAGCGCTTGGAATGGGCTGAAAATCTACAGTTATGCTTATTTAGGCTTGTAGTATAGAACTACATATGCAAAAACGGCTCAGCATTGCTTTGAGAAAATCAGGAAAATTTTCCTTTTCTCAGTTTCTAGTCGAGGAAAAAATACGGTAATCGCACATATGGATATCAGATATCAATAGTATTGATGTGAGCGAGTGGGAGGTCCGTAGACTTTATTTGGACGAAGATCTGATTTTTTTCGATTTTTTGGGCATTTGGAAATCTTTGGATTTTGAGTTCGAACTCTCGGTGGATCGAGCATGGCGGAAAGACATGAGTGCCATCTTGTAGAGCTTGCTTTGCTCTATCGAACAGTACCCCTTACCCTTTGTTGGGTTGAGTCTGGTTGCTTTGTTAAAGCAAGCAAATAAAAACCGACATTATTTTCTTGGCAACCTAATACAAGGAGCCTGAGCCTTACTCTGTAGCCGACACGAAGTTCCGAATACTTTCTATGGGTATTTTGAACATTCTCAACGAAAATAAAAACATAAGAAGATCTAACTTAACGCACGCGCAGCAGCAAGGCTTTAGGGAAATGAGAGAACTGACCAGTGATGGCACTATCCGCCTTTCGGTCATTGACAAAGGTGGAGAGTTTGTAGTCATGTCGCAAGACCTTGACCGCGAGATAGTTGAAGAACATCTGTCAGATAGAACTATTTATCAACCATCATGTGAGAAAGATTTCATATCGCAAAGCAAGAAACTAAATCACATCTGGACATTGATAGGTAGAGAAGCTGGCCTTTATGAGAAATTCCTTACTAGACTCAAGCTAGAAACACCAACATGCCCTGTCTTCTATGGCTTAATTAAAACGCACAAACCTTCTTTGCTCGATTTGCAATGCCTGCAAAAACCTATAAGATACGACCCATCGTCAGTTGCACCAATGGGCCAACGGATCGAATATCTTGGTTCCTTGTCAAAATTGTCAGCCAACTTTTGAATAGAATACCGGCCCACCTGAGCAGCACAAGTCATTTCCTAGAGTTGCTACGCCAAACGAAGTTTAATGAGAATTGCGCATATGAAACGTTCGATTTTAACTCTTTGTATACAAATGTATCCATTGGAAGCGCCTTGCAAGCACTATCTGAAATGCTGGACTCACATGGCACAACCACGATGATGTACGGCCTTAGCAAGGCGCGCATCGTAACGCTCATCAAAGAATGCTTGCTGCAATATTTTCAGATTGTGTGGAAAATATTACGCGCAGATTAGAGGGCTGGCAATAAGCCAAAGATTAGCACCCGTGTTAGCAATCTGCTACATGAGCAAGATAGAACAACCTGTGCTATTCAGAAGCCCGCTTATGTACTGCAGGTATATTGACGATTGCTGTATTATAACATCCACACAGTCCGAAATGGACGAGTGCAAATCAACAATCGCAGTACATAAGCTTGACAAGAGAAAAACCGCGAAACGGGTGGCTCCCTTTTTCCCAAAAATGAACGGCAAGAATGAAAAGCTTTCTATCACAAGTGATCTATTGCCATATCTTGCGCTATGCGAACTATGAGATTGTCACCCTTACTTAAGCCATCTCATAGTGATCCAACTGCTCATTCGACAAGTTACTCGAGCACGTCCTGAGGCAGCATACGCTGCTGCCACGGTGATACACTCGGTGGGTAGACTTTTAGCCCAGTCTCTCAATCTTCACCTGAGACGAATCGAATACGCGGGTGTGAAGAGGTTTTGGCGGCAGGAGAGTAATATCAGAGTGACTGACTCCTTTCCAGGCCTCTGAAGACGGTGTTTAACCGAAACGTAAGGCAGTAATAAAGTGTATCACCAATAAAAACCTGTACGGCATAGAAGAATTATCCAAGTTATAAATTAAATGCCCAGGTTACAAGAAAAAAGGACTTATAGTTTGAAAGCAATTTTATTCTTTTAGTCTATTATTGAATAATCCTTTTTGAGTGAAAGGCGAATTTGCTTAGTGAACCAACGGAACGCAATCCAAGTGTTATTCTTTGATATAACATCAAGCAACTTACCGAAGTTGCTCTGCATTTTTCTTTTATTACAGAAATTCCTGCTTGATTGAGGACTATGACATTTGTTGGCTTGTGAACGAGCATCTTGATTGTCACTTCAGCATCGATTGTCAAATTTTTCTCTTTCGGAATATCCACGTAGAATGGCAAATATGTTTGGAGGACGAGTTCATATGACGCTGAAGTGGAGTCTTTCAAGTTTTTCCAATCAAACACTGATGCACGAATTTGACTGCGTAAGAATTATAAATTATGACGCGCCAACTCGACTGTGTACCATTTCTTTTACGTGTGATCTGCAGGGACGAGCGATTTCGTAATCTTCGCCCCTTTTTCGTTCAATTCGAAACGATGCTCTTGTGGATAAGGAATAGGTGAGTTTTTAAATATTTTTTACTAATATAGGCTGCTTACTAATGATACATATCCGTCTAAAGGTAGGAACGAAACGGTTGTTCCCTTTTTTTATGTTTTTTGTTTTTTCACTAATTTAATTTTATAACAACTTTATAATCCTTACCTTGTTTTTCTGTTTCTATTTCAAAAGTGTTTCATGTTGCAGATTTTCTACTGTGCGCTACTTACGTTTCCTAAGTTTGATTTTTAAGCGAACTAACACACAAAGAAAATTTTACAACCGTAAGGTTCAAAGTATCAAACAATTTTTTGCAACGCGACAATTGTGAAGATATTTTCAACTGAGATAGAATACCTCAAAGACATACGGCAAACTAAATCTACGAAAGGAAGCACTTATCTTGTTGGATGCGTGCAACTCAACCGCATTGCCGTATCTCACAGAATGCTCGCTCTTCCGCACAATTGTTCCAGGTAAGAAGCAGACCAGTAGGAATTCTTTTGCTCACGGAGTTCTGTGGCGTGTCAGGGAGGTCGCGTTCGAAAAGCGCTGGGCGATTCCGCGCGGCATACGCGACGTACGCAGCATATGCAGGTTACGCTTTCTATTGCGCATTGCGCATGTGCGCGCCTGCGCAAGCGCCTACACCGAGCAGTCGCCAATCCGACAGCGTCTTATACTCGTGAAATTGTATATATGTTGAAACGTTTTCTGAAATTATATTAGGTTGAACCGAAAGTTCTGTCGCACCATTTTCGACAAGTCATAACTTCTTTCGCTCACGACGATTTTGCGCAATTCAAATTCTTTCAGAAAGCGTAAAGCATGTAGTTTCCAACGAATCCCTGGATAGTTTCCGACATGCTCAGATGGCAGAGATAAAAATGAAAGAACGAGATCATCCGATATTCGGAATTTTTAAGTAAGAATTCTAGAAATTCAGAAACAGTGCGATAAAATCCAGAAAAGCCATTATCCTAATTTTTTTTACATTTGTTTACTATCTGAGTCAAGTTTGTGCTGATCGAGGTCTTCTTTCAGAAGTTATGATTTTTTGAAAAATAATGCCGAAAAATCAATTTCCTAAGAATTCTTAAGAAATGGATTTTTTGGCATTTTTTTTCAAAAATTCATAACTTCTGAAAGAAGACCTCGATCAGCACAAACTTGACTCAGTTAGTAATCAAATGTAAGAGAAATTAGGATAATGGCTTTTCTGGATTTTATCGCACTGTTTCTGAATTTCTAGAATTCTTGCTTAAAAATTCCGAATTTCGGATGATCTCGTTTTTTCATTTTTATCTCTGCAACCTGAGCATGTTGAAAAGCGCCCAAGAAACCCTTGGAAACTACATGCTTTACTCTTTCTGACAAAATTTGAATTGCGCAAAATCACCGTGAGGGAAAGAAGTTATGACTTTTTGAAAATGGTGCGACAGAACTTTTGGTTCAACCTAATATAAACTATATAATTAATCACTGTACAAGTGGTATAGGCCGACTCAACGTGAGTGTCAAAGCAAAAGCGAATTCGGACCGGGGCTCGGCACAGTTGGCACCAGGTCAAGCTAAATATCGTTTTTAGGGCGGAAAGCAAAGGGGATATCGTTTTTCCGGGGGCCCGAGGCGGAGAAGTACCGCAAAAATGCCGCCGGCATGCCACCGGCATGTTTCCATCAACAAACGAAGGCGCTGTTTTCAGCCAAAACGCAATAGTATGACACCAAATTTGGGTGCATGCGCGTTGGTGGACCCGAACTATGGCTCAAAAATTTATGAAAACTTATGTGAATGAAAGCTGTGCTGAACTTTTTACTAAATTAGCCGGCACCGTGCCAGCTGGGTGCCAGCTGAGCTGGCACCGATACTTTGCTCACATAAGTTTTCATACTTTTTTTTACATAAAACGTATCTATACTATAAAAGATTACATACAGAGAAGAAACAGTTTCATAATGTTTTCATTTCAGCGTTTTATAGCCATTTGAAAATTACTCGGTCTGCTCTACAGTCAAAAAATCGGCTTTTTCTGCTTCTCAAGATCTGACTCGACCACTTAAAAGGCTCAAAAAGCTGTGAAAAGTTGTTCCATGAAATCAGCATGCATGAAAACCTTACTACATACCTTCACATAATATAAAAATAATGACGGGTTTTCAGAACGGGTCAAAGGGGACTTCGTACCAAAATTTTCAAGATCAAACGGGACTTCGTTTTGAAATTTTCTTGGTGCCAACTCGTGCCGAGCCCTGATTCGACCCTCGCGGCAGTTTCAAGGCAGCGTTTACGGACGTATCCACTTAGCGTTTTCTCACGCTCCAACAGCACACATTTGGTGAGACGTGGGATGATCATAGTGTGTAAGTGAACCACGGTTAAAAAGCGGCAGCGAACGCTCAAGCCGCTGATGCTATGAGAACTTGAAATTTAAAAACCTATGTATCAAAAGCTGCTTGATCTCGGCCGAAAATCCCAACATATTCAAATATCGTATGAATAGATGCCATGCGTGATCGCTTTGTTTTTTGAGACATTGAAATTGTGCGCAAGTAAAATCTGCTTCCTTTGTGAGTTTGCTGTTACCTCTGATAACATTTTTTCACGCTGCAACTCTGATTAACGAACCCTTGATGCGGGTCAAGCTTTTTCTATTTCTTCCATCTATACACTTTAGTTTACCCTATTTGCTTGCTGCGTGTTGACTGTGCACTTCGTTTCTCTTTATAGGAGCGGCAATCTGGAGTCGTGGCAATTAAATAGCTCACTCTGCAATAGTACAAGGTCGTCCCATGAGTCGCCCGTTTTGAGCTTCAACTTCAGTAAATCATACACTTCTTTATAAATAGTTGCCAAGATATCATTTGATAGAACAAAGCAAGCTCTACAAAATGGAAATCTTGCTTTTGTATCAGCTACGATTTTTCTCGACTTTGAAGCTAAAAACTTGAAATGTCCGCGTAAAAAATTGTACAGAAATCCTAACTTTCTCACGTGTATCCTTTCTAATAAGTCCAGACATACCGTTGCTGTATTTTTTACTCGGTCAGAAATCAAGAAAACGAAATATTTTCATGCTTTTGTTAAAGAGATCTTGTGCTGTTCCACATAAGTGATTATTAGACTGTCCCAAAAGTAATCTCCTTTCTTCAAATATTAGGTCGCTTCGCACCAAATTCAAAAATTTATAGCTTTTGATTTTTTTTCAACCAATTGACTGCCTTTATGTTTGTATGGAAGAGTCAGCCTGCTCTTTATAATGACATCTTAGCTGCTTACTAATGATCACCATATGCATAGATCGGAGCGATAAAAGAAAATTGGTCAAAATCGACTTTTTTGTAAAGGGTCATAAGAAATCTGAAATTTGCAATAAAAATCCGAGCAGTTGGTATTATAGTCTATTACCTGCTCTATCTAACTGTGCAAAGGTTGTGCTGAACGGACGTCAAAATGCCCAAATAAATCGAAATTGCCTTTTCGTATTGCCTGCCTGAAAATCATAATTTTTCATAGAAATGTTTTTCAATCAGCACAAACTTGTTGTTCTTTCAATCAGCACAAATTTTGTACAGTTATGAAAAGCATGTAATAAAACCTATACAACTGTTCAGATTTTTATTTCAAGTTCCGGATTTTTCATGACCTTTCACGGAAAATTCGAATTTTGACTAATTTTCTTCTACCGGTCCTATCTATGCAATAGATGACAGTTGGTAAGCAGCTAAGGTGTCCTTATAAGAGCACGACTTACTCTTTCATGAATAGGAAAGGCAGTCAAATCGTTTGAAAAAATCAGGACTTACGAGTTTTTAAACTTGATGCGAAAAAACTTTCGGGACAACCTAATACATTAAAGGCAGTGTCCGGGCAAAAACTCGATTTCTATTAGGTTGATGCATAATTCCTGCACCAAAATAGGTACAGACCGCAATAACTCGGAGTAATCCTATATTCCAAGTAGGATTCGATCTATCATTTGATAGCGCAAACCTAGCTCTACAAGATGGTGCTCAATTTTCTACACCAGCTTTGATCCACGCGAAGTTTTGAGCCAAAAACTGAAAAAAACCATGCGTCCGAAAACCTTAAGACAGATCTTAAAAAAATTGTAACTTCAAAAAGCTCATACAAATTTTCTTTCTTGCTCACGCGTAGACGTTCCACGCAAGACATTTATTTATGCGGTTGCTGTATTTTTTTCTCAATTAGGCGATGAAAAAACGAAGTTTTTTGAAGTTTTTCATGTTTTTGCCAAATTAGTGCTGAGATGTTCTAGTATCAACAGTTGTATAGTACATGCCGTTAGCAGTGAAACTTTACATTTTCAGCCTTCTAGAACTGCTAGTTCGCGAGAAATAACGAATCTAGCTCTCCTTATCCAAATTTTTCTTGCCTAGTTGCTAAAAATCCGATATTTCTCGTAAACCAGCTGCTCTAGAGAGCTGAAAATTCACATTCACGCTTCTAAGGTCCTATAGTATACAACTGTCAGTGCTAGAACATCTCAGCATTGTTTTGGAAAAAACATGAAAAACTTCGTTTTCTCATCGGCTAATTGAGAAAAAATACAGCAACCGTATAGATAAATGTCTTACATGGAACGTCTACGCGTGAGCAAGAAAGAAAATTTGTATGATCTTTTTGAACGAAGTTACAATTTTTTTAAGATCTGTCTTAAGGTTTTCGGACGCATGGTTTTTTTCAGTTTTTGGCTCAAAACTTCGCGTGAATTAAAGCTGGTGTAGATATTTGAGCACCATCTTGTAGAGCTAGGTTTGCGCTATCAAATGATATATCGAATCCTACTTGGGATATAGGATT